CATATCCCTCTATCCATAATGGAGAGATGGGAATAAACCGGTTACCAAACAGAGAATATTGAGAGATGACTGTAAGAGATCCAAAAGGAGAAACCTGACTTGAATGGCTAAAACCTTGTCACATGATCCCCCCTGACACACGCTGGTCCTGATCTTGTTTTCAACATTTTCTGTGGTTTTTTTTTTCATATTGGGTTTATCTCTGATGTATTTTGTCATTCACTGCTTGAATCTGTGCTACATATTTTTCTGTTTTTCAGTATACGAAACCCAGGACCGATGACATAATGAGGGCTCCTGGGGTATATAGTAGTGGAGTGGGGTAAAAGGAACCTGATAACAAGGAATTTGAGAAGGAATGCAGTGCTTTGAAACCAATTGTGGTAGCAATTGTGCACTACTGTTTGATGTGATTGAACTATTGAATGATACGATATCTGCATTAGCTATCACTCATATGGTTTTGATGGGGAAAAAAGCAGTCTTGAGAAATGACGGGCTCCATGCAGATATGAATTAAATTTTTTGGAAGGGGCAGCAGATGAAAACGAATTCCACAAAAGAACATAAATATGGGTAAAATCTTCAGCCACATGTTAATTGGTGAGGAGAGAGGAGGCACTTCTGAATTTATTGAACAAACTAACTTCAAATTGCATCATCACTGAATGAATTCTGGTAATTAAATATTCCAAGCATCCTGGATACCTGAAAGAAAAGGCACCGGGTAGTATGATCTATGCTGTCTTGAAGTCAATAAAGACTGCATTTTCAAATGATAGGAAGAAGATATTGAATCACAAGTAAGAGTATTTTCCACTGGCACCAGCATTATCCATGGGGGCAAGGTCTTTCCCTTTACATCTTCCCATGACTTCATAGGGTTCTTAGACGCCTCATGCCAAGAAATTGAAAAAGGCTGTAATTAATCGAGTCTGGTATCATCATTTTCTTATAAACACCACTTGTCTGACAACTTGGAAAATGAAATGATCTGAGCTGTTTCCTGTCAGCCATATGTGTAAAAAGATCTCTTTCTTGGTAATGGTCGGGAAATGAACACAGATCTTTTTCTTACTTTTCCCGGGGGAATATGTGTCCCTGACAATATTCTGAATTAGAAGCCAAAATGATGATGCTGTTAGGGTGGACCTTGGAAAACATGCATGCATTGGTTTTATTTTAAAAAGATATTCTGAAGCCAAGCCTTTAAACACTTTATTTTGAAAAATATTCGAATGCTGTTTGCTTTTGGAGAAACACTTGAAAAGTCATCTTGTTTCATCTAAAAATAGCTTATCAAGAGGAAACAATTACTTATTTGTTACTTGGAAATATTTGGGCGTTGCAAAGTTAAGAAGGAAGAAGGTCAAGAAACTACTCATTTAAGCAGTTACTATGTGCAAGACAGTATGCTCGATGTTTAGTGTGTTTGATCTCATTTTCTTATAGGATAGACTGTACATTAAAAGATTCCCCTCCCCCATTTTATAGATGAAGACACTGATGTTCAGTACATTTATTTGCCAATGGTCATCAAAACCAGATTTTTAAAACCTGGTATCCTTTGTACTTTACCATGCTACCTTCAATCCAACTGTAAAAGCCGGGTCTAAAAATAGAGCAAGTTTTAGTTTTAAAGGAACCTAATTTATGTTAGCACTATTTCCTTTTAAAGAGACGTTGCCACTCAGGTGTCACAACTACTGGGGATATGTAAAATCCGAAGAGTCTATTTTTCTGCCTCCTTTGTTCATGGAAGGAGCCTTTGTGGCACAGTGATTAAGTGCTTGGATGGTACTGCAAAGGTTGATAGTCCAAACCCATCAGCTGCTCCACAGAAGAAAGAAGGTAGATTGCTTCTGCAAAGTTTAAAATCTTGGAAACCCAATGGAGAAAGTCTACTCTGTCCTATAGGGTCCTTCTGATTTCGAATCAACTTGATGGCAATGGGTATTCCCACATCCCTAGGAGTGCCACACAACCCTTTCCTCACTTTGACCGTGAATGGCGAATCGAATTCTACACAGTCCATATAAGTGGAATTACTGACACTATGCTTCTGATTCTTTTTTAAAAATCATTTATTGGGGGCTCATACAACACTTATCACAATCCACACGTCCATCCATTGTGTCAAGCACATTTGTACATTTGTTGCCATCATCATTCCCCCCAAAATTGTTTTCTACTTGAGCCCTTGGTATCAGTTCCTCATTTCCCCCTCCCTCCCTGCACTTCCTCCCTTATAAACCCTTGATAATTTATAAATTATTATTATTTTGGCATAGCTTATACTATTTTTAGCAGCAGGATAGTATTCTATATTCTTTAGCATGTCAACTTTCATCCACATAAAATACTGAGAGAGTGTTTCAATTTATTTTAAAAGTCTCCAGCCTTCGACAAGGCAAAATTGGAATCCCCAACTGAAGAATGAGTAATAAAATAGAAGTCAAATATTTTTATACACATCTGCTCATATTTTAAGTTGACAATATCTATTCTGGTTGAATACAAAAAGTTATTGAAAACATCATAGTATTACTATTGGCACTGGACAAGATTCTTAATATTATGATAGTGTTCTCATCTCTGACAATTGTCTCTCTCACTCACTGTATCTTTCGCTCACTGTATTGCTATTATTCTAATTTAGGTTTTATACTTAAACTACTAAAATAGCTCCTGATAGTCTTCTCTCTGAAAATATTTTTCCATGGCAATGTTTTCTATTGTAGACTTTATATTTTATGAAGCATTTTAGCACACGTTTTCAGTTACTATCTATATCAACTGTGTGTGGTAGACATTATCCCAATTTTATAGATGGAGATGTTGCTGAGAGGTTGAAAGGTCTAATACTTTTTTTAATGTCTCAGTAATACTTTTTAAAAGTACATAGTTGGAAAGGGGGAGAGTTAGACTTTGAATCCAAGTCTTCCTGATTAAAACTAGAAAATGTTCTATTATATCAACAAAGCCTTCTCAATAGTAGGCTTAATCCAGTGCTAAATTTACATTTATACTCTTGTTCAGGGTCTCTCCACACAACTGACCCAAATTCTAGGATTGTGGGAAGGGGGACTTCTCAATGGGCTCTGGAGTCAGACTGCCTGTGTGTGAATCCTGGTTCTAGCACATGCTAAGCTGTGCAAACCTTTTAAGAAGTGTAACATCTTTGAACCTTGGTTTCCTTATCTGAAAAATAAGGGCATCATTATCTCATCTGGTCTTTATCAGAGGAAAATTAATCAATATGCCAATTGAATTTACACAAAGCTACTATGATTAAACTCCTAAAGTGTAGCTATAATAGCATTTCCTATTCAAAAACATTCACTTACTTGCCATTATTTATTAAATAAAGCCCAAATATTTTACCTTAATATTCAAAACCCTCATGATTTGGTTCTAATACATAATGTTAGCCTGATACCCTAATACTTTCCATAACATGTCTTCTATGTGAGGAAACCAATCTATTAATTGTCCTTGAAACTCAATATGTACTTTCCCAAATCTGTGATCTTGCTTATGTGATCTCTCTTCCTATGATGATATCTCTATGTCATACCATAAAATCACAATGAAAGTTATGCCCATTCATCAAAGCCCAGGCCAATTTTTATTTCATTTAACAAAACCTTCCTTCATCTACCAGCTAAAATAAATGTCTTCTCTCTTCTGTTTCCAAAGCATTATGTCTTATGCCCTTGTCATTTCTCTTCTATTCTACAATAACATTTCTATAGGATAGGAAATATGAAAATGTATTTTTAAAATTTTTCACAAAACCTGGCATGAAGCTTTAGTTAGTGGAAAGTAATCATCTAAAAATAATCATCTCAGGCACATTTTATATAAAATATCAAGTACTTATGAGGGCAGGATTCTTTTTTAAAAATTCTTTTGAGTTGCCTATGGGGAAGTTCAACTGAGTAAGTTATTCATTTTTGAGAAAAAGTTCAGAAAAAAACCAATAATATCTGACTTTTCATTGTTCCAGATAACATTAGCTTAGTGTAACAAAGCTATATGAAAAATTCTCTATTTTCTTTACACATATATAACATCTGTTTATAAGATTACAAAGTCTTCAAAAATGAATTAGTCACTGAGAATATTTTATCACGATAAAGCCATGTAGGCTTTGACTGGAAATAATATTGCATATGTCAAGAAAGACATTGCTACATTGTGTAGTGTGATCATTACAATGACACCAGGTATGTACACTGGTACAGATAGGAACTGGAAATACAGGGAATCCAGGGCAGATGATCCCTTCACGACCAGTGGTGTGAGTGGCGACAGAGGGAGAGTGGGTTGGAAAGAGGGAACCGATTACAAGGAACTATATGTGACCTCCTCCCTGGGGGACGGACAACAGAAAAGTGAGTGAAGGGAGACGTCGGACAGGGCAAGATGTGACAAAATAATAATTTATAAATTATCAAGGGCTCACAAGGGAGGGGGGCGCAGGGAGGGAGGGGAAAAATGAGGACCTAATGCCGGGGGCTTAAGTGGAGAGGAAACGTTTTGAGAATGATGAGGGCAATGAATGTACAAATGTGCTTTACACAATTGATGTATGTATGGCTTGTGATAAGACTTGTATGAGCCCCTAATAAAATGATTTAAAAAAACAATGACATCAGGTAATATGATTTGCAATTTAGTGCTCATTTAAGTACAATATTTCATCAAAATATTGAATGCTGCACAAGTCCTGGCCTCTTTGTAGAACTAAGAATTAATTAGAAGTTAGGTACTCTTCAATCGATTGATAACGTCTCTCATAGGTTTAATTTACTAATAGATCTTAGTCATTTTTGTCTTCTGAGAGGAGATGGAAATTTTTGTTTAAAAAATGTTGTAATTAAGCACAAATGCCTCAATATATTGAAGAAATTTTAATGTGAGTACTTATACAGTGATTTGAAATGGTTTCAGGAGTGTTATTTCTGTTTGGTAAGGAATCCGTTGATTGTTCTTACCTGTTCATGTATCTGGCTTGATTCACCAAGGCCCAATTCATTTCCAATATTTGTAGAGATGGAATCACTTTCTGTGATGGTTTGAATTTGCTGAGTTGAATAGGATTGTTGACAGTGTGGAGAGTGTATGATCTGCGGTTGTTGGACAAGGTGATGATGATGGCATTGAACCTGAGGATACTAGGAAAAGAAAAGAAAACAATTTGGATTTTAATGTATTCTTTCAGAAGAGAATTAAAGTCCTAGGACTCGTTGTTTTAATAAGTGATGTATTATTTTTCAAATTTCCCATTGGGAGAAATTATCTTGATCTATCTCTTTATTTGGTCAGGTGATGAGACCATGCAAATAGTTACCCAGATTAGTCAGGGGATTTCACGTTCTAATTAATTATTATTCCAGTTATATTTAATACTAAAACTATCATGAATATGAATTAATTATTTCTTTGATAATTCAACAAGCACGTCAAGAGCTAATTATGCAGTTATATTACAGTACTGAAGATGTAGCTATAAATAAATTTAGAAATCAATATAATGTACAGGTGTTCAATATCAATAACATATTTGAATCACAGTTGAGAGGGTGGTGGAATTCTTAAGCTTATGAAAATGGAACAAAAATTAGGAAAAGAATAGTGACTGACTAAAGATACAGGTCCCGAAAAATATGGATTTTAAGCCTGAGTCTACTGCTTACTTTGTGACCTTGTGCAACTATATATATATATAGAACTTTCATGAGCTTCAGAATCCTTATTTGTAAACCTGGAGAGAGTACATGACTCATTGGGTTGATGCACTGAGTAAATTAACTAATGTCTGTGACGTGCCTAGCACGGAGGATGTGGGTAATAAGCATTTATTATGATTATTCTCATCATCCATAACATCATAATATATATCATCATTCATTCTCTTGACATTATCATTATGTGTAGCACCATGCAACCCTCTTCCTCCTTGAGTTTGTAGGTAGGGAAAAAAGAATAATTTCTTAAGTCTAGAGAAATATGATGATATACTTATAACGACCTAGCAAGTTAATGGAAAAATTGGAATTGGAACTATTTATAGCCCAGACCTCTTTCAAGATATTAGGCTGAATTTTGAATGCTCAAAATGTTCTGTGACTTATTTAAAATTTAGTCTATTTACTTGTTTATTTTTCATGCTTCTCTTGTGATAAGTGGGAAGTACAGAATGAAAACAAGGGTATCTGATTACTTCTGATTTGGAAATTGCAGGTGAAATTTCATTAATATCCTACTTCAAAAAAGGAATCTGAGAGCCTGTAGTCAAAGAAAAGAATAAAGTATTTTGAATGTTAATGCTACATTAATACACATACGACTAACTTTGAAACTATAGAATCAATTCTCTATTCTAACACTTTATATTTACATGTTAACATGGGTAATGTTTAAACTATATTAAATAAAAAAGTAAGGTGTGTAACAATAATGGTATAAATGGAAATGCTTACATGTATATTCACAGACATACACTATTTTCATATGAAGAGACAAAACTTTAAGAGTTGTTACCACTGGAAGAGGAATTGAGTGACAAGCGGATCATGATAAGGAGAGTTATTTTTTAATGCACACTCTTTTGTATTTTGTATACTATTTGTACTTTTTCAATTGGTAAAAATTATCTTTAAAAATAGCACATGAATATTTTGAAAGAAAAAAATAAACACGTTTTACAAAAAGTAGTTGCTTTAGTAGACATACAGGATAGGTTAGGAAGCCTTACTACACCCAGCTATTAGAAAGAATAGTGTCTAACAAAGAGCCACCTAAGTGAGGTATCAGCCAAGTGGACACGGAAGAAGTACACAAGCCTGTGTGCTCCAAGAATCACAAATAACAAGATCCAAGAGAAGAGAGAGGAATTATATTAGAGCTTAAATTCTGAGCACCCCGTCTGCAGAAAGCTATGGATGACCATGAAAATCCCAAATCCATTTGCAGAGTCTCCACATGGATTAAGCCTCCAGTGAATTCCCTGTGACCATTGACCAGGGATGTGAATAGCTTTGGTATCAGACAGAGCTTATTGGAATGTGAGTGGACTAATACAGATGTAGTTAGGTTAAAATTTTAACACCTTATCATCTGTTCTCTCTTTTAACCCATTTTAATTTGTTATAGTTTTTATTACTTCTTGCCTTCTTTCACTTAAGGTTTTTCTGTTTTATTTTGTTATTTTTTGTATGATTTTTAGAATATGAAATCCAGTCTAGGTAAATATATAGAGAAAGTAATTTAATAGTTTCTTAGGGTTCTGACAGAGAAGGTTGGGGGGAAATGAGGAACTAATAATAATGAATAGAAGAATAAAGAAAATGTTCTAAAATGAATTGTAACTATGATTGAACAATTCTTTTTAATATATTTAAATAATTAACTTGTATGGTATTTGATGTATGCCAATAAAACTATTAATATTTAAAAATCAAGTTTTGCTACAAAATCACACAAACCTTTATTAAAGAAAAGTGTGACGTTACGGTTTCTTGACATAGCCCATATAATTATCTATACAATTCTGAGGGTGATGTTTCCAAATCTCTAAACTTTCCACAACATAGCTCAATAGATAAATCTTCTGCAAAAGACATCTTTAAGGCATCAAAAAGTGAGGTAAGTGATAATACACAGAGGATACTGCAATTAATGAATCAGGATGTGTATGAATTGTTTAAAGCAAAGTATAATCTGCTCTGCAGACGTTCACCTAATTAGAACAAAAAAGTTTTTAAAAATACATGTCAAGTGGGCCCCTACACAAGTGCTCCCCCAGCACAAGAACACTTTGTTCTAACAATTAGGCAGTCTGAGATGCTCACCTACCTGACATTAT